AATACAGTGAAAAAATATTTTAAAAATATTTCAAATTATGCCTATTATATTATTTAACAGTAATTAAAAATGAAAGATTAGCAGTTGTCCAAAAAATGATAAGAAAGAGAAAAATACTTGATAAATCTCCAAAAATGAAATGCCAGCCATAAAAAAAAAGATTTTATAACATAGGATTTTACGACTAGTTAATATTGATAAAAATGATATTATAGTTTAATAAAAATAAAACCATCAATCATTTAATACAATAAGTATCTAGAGGTATCTAGATACTTCTTAGAACTACACATTCATTTTCAGAAATTAAACATTATATCAATTATTTTTTGTTAGTGTGAAAACTGAATACATAACTACGGATAAGTTAAAACTAATGTTTTCTTTACAAGTATACTTATCATCTTTCAAAAATTGTATCAGAACATTTGGGAAAATGCTACTTAAGAAAAATTCATAAAATTACAAAATTTAAATCGTTTTACTTATTTTTATATGTTCAACAAGTCTAGTTCTTTACTCCAAACTCAGCTATATATTATAAGAGTAACAATTTTTTTTTTTTGTTTTTTTTGATTGAAGTTATATATTGAAATTTAAATATGTTTGGTCAATATTTTAAATCAGTTTATTCACCCTTAAGCAATATTACAAACGTTTTATTAAAAAGTATGTAGTATGGTGTTAGAAAATATTGATCTAAGTCAGTGTTTGCCAATCTGGGGGGACATGTAAATATTACTGGGGAGGTGTACTCATATAAAACAATTTTTTATTATTCATATTTTATAATTATTGTCGTAAATAAAAAGGGTGATATTTTTTTCAATTTATAGGGAGGGGTGAAGTTTTTGAAAATTTACAAATGGGGCATAAGATAAAAGAGTTTGAGAACTACTGATATAAATAAGTGTTTCTTTACTAAGTCTGAAGTCTTTGATAGTCTATTAAAACCACATTTAAATACGACGACTAATCCTAACCTAGTTTCTGACATTTTTTTTAGGAATTTTTATTACTCCCACACAAATCAAATTAATTTTCTATTTTCCTTATCCTTATCTTCAGGTACTTTTTTTACTACTTGAAAAACTAGTTATGTACTCTCAGTTTTTAAATAAAGATTGAAATTTAAAATACGTAATAAGAGACTGATATCAAGATTAAGCGTATTTCCTAAATTATTTCAAAAATTATTAAAATTAAAACTTTCATATTTACTAAGTCAAATACTTCTAAATAATCAACATGAATTCAGACTGTTTAAATCTATTGTTACAAATTTATTATTTTACTGTACAGGTTTAATGGACGTAATCTCTAAAGATGATCATGTTAATGCTCTATACATAAACTGAATTTAAAAAAACTTTTGTTAGTTTTGATCATTTTGTATAAATTAGTAAATTGAGTACTATAGGGACAGGGAAATCATATGAAAAACTGATTTTTTTTTTTCGTATCTTACGGATAAAAAACAAATAGTTAAAATAAAAAAATCAACATCTACTATTTATGTATCTTCTGGAATTCCATAAGATGGACATTTGTCATCTTTCTTATTCATATTATTTCTAAATTATCTTGGTAACGTATATAAGTACTGTAAATATTCATTATACGCCCAAATTCAATATCTTAATGATTATCACAAATTACAATCTAATTTAGATAAATTATATTTATGATTAATTAAAAATGGATTGCAGGTAAATGAGAGTAAATGCTTACAGATAAATTTTATAAGAACTAAATATTATATTCACACCAATATGTAATTAATAAATGTAACCTTACTACAACAAACCACGTAAAAGATTTAGATTTTTTTCTGTTTTTCCATTTATACCATATCACATATATATATGTAAAAAAGCATCAAGTACATTAGAATTTTTAAGAGAAAAATTTGTGACAATATCAAAGTAATAAATGCTTAAAACTTTATATATTGCTCTTGTATAGTTTATCTTATAAGTTATAATATGATTCTATTATTTAGTATTTATATATATCACGTGATATCAGAAAAATTGAATCCATACGATATCATTTTTTAAATTAAATTTCTTATAAAATTAATACTAATATAATTAAAACTGATGAATTTCTTAGTAACCTAAATATGCACAATCTTTTAAGTAGAAAAAAATGTTTTGAAGTAAAACTTGATTTATAAATTATTTAATTATAAAAATGATTGTTCAAAAATTTTAAATTTAATTCCCATTAATGTCATCAAATAGCTCTTCATTCATATTATATGTTTTATACATTTACTCATACACATAACTATAATGGAAATTTTTTATTAAATCGCATGCTGAATTTATGTAACAAAATTAATACAAATAATTTCGATTTCTTTCATAATTCTTTATTACAACATAACGGTCTATGTCTTTTATTACTTATTACATTATTATCTGTTTTTTTTTTTTAAATTTATTTATTTAAATAATTATGTTATTAATAAGTTGGTTTTTCTATGCTCTATTTCACTGTTTACTTGTTTATTATTATTTCGTTTATCTGTATTGTTATGTCCATGGGCGTAATCATCGTTTGTGATAAAATTTATTGTTTTTATCATATAATAAAAGGTATGTTCGTTTTGTATAATAATTTTTTTAGGTTAGTCTATTTTAAATCATATTCATTATCGTAGTTAATACAGTTTAATTTTTTTTTAATTTATTTATTCATCTTCTCCAATTATAAATTTATTATTATTATTTTTAATTTAAATATAGATCTTTAATTCACAAATAAAATGATATAATAATAAATAATTATCAATTAATTAAATAGTGTAATCGAGAACTGTACACATTTTATAATAAAAAATGAAAATGTTATGCTGGTAATAAATCATTACCGTTGTCTCTCAATAACTTATTATTTTTCAGACAACGTCCTATGATCAATAAATAATAAATAATATCAAATCTTATTTCGCACATTAAAACTTAAAATGAAACGTGCATTTATGTTATGATAACCGTTATCAGACGCCATGTGTATACTGTTATTACGTTTTCACATGTTAAACCATTCTAACGTTCCAATAGATATTAAAATTGTATTTATGTTTCATTTTTACTGATAAAAATTATTTTTCAAAAATTATAATAACACGACCGTACTTAATTTTTTTTTTTTTTTTGGTAAAAAATTAAATATTTGTTATTAATTAAAGCATAGAATAGCACATTAATAAAATTAAAACCTTTCGAATTTAAAAAAAAAAAATGAAATATAAGGTTTAATGAATAAATGTTTATATTACAATATATTATAAGCCAATAGATCAAGGGATGGTCATTATTTTATTTCAGTAAAAATTAAATTTTAAGCTAGCCATCATCCCATAACACTTAACATCAAATGACTTAGATTTAATTATATTTTTGATTGTGAAATCTTTATTCCGTCAATATTCGTACAATCAATCGTCATTATTTATTCTATTTTATTTTGCTTATAACATTGTTAATATATTTTATACTTAATAACATCGCAATCAAGTACGATATTAAACAGTAATTTACCTTTTATCCATTATACATAAATACTTTTATAACGCAAACGAATAAGTCGAAAATAGTAACCAAAAACATTTAAAATCAATTCCAACAAGACAGTTAACATTATTATGCATATATTACTATGCACGCATATCGCACAACTTAAATTACTAAAATTTAGGGATTGCCCAGACTCTGCAAGTGAAAATAGTAAAATAAGCGAAAATAAGTAAGTGAAATAATGAAACCTATTAATAATAATGGTCCAGCAGATTTTACATCTCTTGGTGTTAGTATTTTTTTTTTTTTTATTATTTTAGTCGTTTAAAGTGGTAATAAATTACTAAAGAAACAGCCATGTAAAAACAAAAATGTATAATATTAACGTAGTATTGTTACAGAAGCATTGTTATAGTGTAACTAAGTTAAAACAATGACCAGTTAACATCGGACAAAACTAGTTTATTACCCCAAACTGATCATTGTTTTAATTTAGTCGTACTGTATATAGGTAAAATTCATTGATAGTTGAATGTTTTAAATTTTATTATTATTTTTATATACTTAAATAATGAAAGTTGTTCTACGCAGAACGATAGGTGTATTGCCTATACACTGCGCCGTGTTAAACTGTTAGAAAACTGTCAGATTGATTCGATCTCATCAACATATTAACTAAAACAATTTATCGTATTTTATTTTAATTTATTATAGTGAATTTTAAATCAACAATTATTATATTCACTACCAATTGCATTTAACCGATTATTTAATGATCAGAGCTCAATTAGATTAGGTACCATATTGTTTATTTAAGACTCGTTAAAAATATAAAACAATAGAAAATAACTATTCTAGTAAAAATAAGGTAAATTTCTCTAAAACTATTTTATATACAATAAATTGGCGAGAGTAATATACTAAAATTCAAAGAATATAATTTTCTAGTTAACAGCTTAAATTATAAAATAACGAATAAATTATATCAACATCGATTTAGTTCCAAACAAGTTTACTGTACATATTTATCAAATCTTACAATATTTTTGTCAGTTTATCTTAACTGTACATTAACATTAATATATTATAAAAATTTAAACTTAAATAGGAGAAACATAAAAAAAATACTGAATATTCAATCAGAAAAGTAACAATAAAGAAACTTTTGGTGCACTACTCTTTTATTTTAAATTAATATTTTATTCATTCTAAAACAATTTAAAAACATCTAATACAGTCATATTATGCTCGTATTCTACATAATAGTGTGATGAAATATAAATAATATTTTTTTGTATAAAAACGTGAATTTTTTTTAATGTTTCTGATAATCGCGTGATCTTCCGTCATAATATTTATGTCGTATTATTATATACCAATACTTCGCATGCCTACTTAAAATATTCACCTCGCGTACCACAACTAGCTATGATTAAAGTACTTGACGAATTGCATGTGTTAATTTACGTATAGATCGTTATCCAAATTGGCGAAGGACCAGACGGCTCGGTAATGATCCGGAACGCAGAGAACAAACAGGGAATGTGCCCGGTGAAGTTTCTGCAAGAGGTGTGACAATTGGGTGAGCGATACGTGACGCATCGCTTTTCTATGTCTCGACGACCTTTCTTGAGCCCATGTAAGTACATATAATACATAATATTATATTTTACGTTAACGCGTTGTATGAAATGATTCATCAAGGATGCTCAGTTTATTTTATCCTTTAATACTATAAATTTATTTAAACGTAAATGTATAGAATTTTTATGTAAGTTTACTTGCTTAAAATATTATAGTTGAACAATAGCAAAATTAAAATAATAAAATGTTGGTGGCTTAGGTTAGGTTAGCTAGGTGAATCACCATTACTAGTTGTACACACAAATTATATAACTTCTGACGTATTTAGTCCATTACCTTCAGACACTATATGTGTGTATGTTTGTAAATAGTTTATATACTACACAATAGTATATTATAATGGTATTACACATATATGACATGTTTGTGCATCATCATTAATATTAGTCGTTTGGAAAATAATAATTTGTTGATACTATTGAGTATTATGACAGAACAGGATATGTATACAAGTCGTGTTTTAGACTCAATATAGAGAACCAGACATCATCGGCAACAAATACAAATATGTTATTTACTAATGAGGAAAAAGGAACAACAATCCTTTATAAAGAAACTAAAAATTGACTAATAGTTATATATTTATATTTATAGATAACCTCGGGTTAATATACATATTTTAAAATAGATAATCATGTTTACTTATTTAAATATTACGTCTCTAAGACTATTCAAAATGATTTGAGTTATTATAATATATTTATACGAGTATATAAACCTAACCTTCGGTTTAGCCACAAGGAAATCAATTAGTATCATCATGACCTAACACCTCGTCAAAGCCCAACTGTTATTCAATACTTGTATACTATAAAATAGGTAATATGATATGTGTGTATAACGTTACAATTCATCAACACCACAACTATACTGCAATAAATTATAATTCATAACATGCATATTATAATATTAATATAATCACGATCGTGTTTTTCCCTACAGCTTTGCCCTCGGACTACGAGAGATACGACGATGACCGACCTTGCGGTCGTCGACATTCCAACTCGCAGAACCGACCGCTATTGGTGATCGGTCAACGTTGAAACAATCCGCGACGCCGAATTATACACATTCACTTTTACAACTCAAATTTATACTCACACACACACACATACACACACACATATTATATAAAAACACATAAACAGAACCACAATTCTATATCCTCGACACCCTCCTGAAATAATTTCCTTGCGACCAAGGAAACTAGCTCACCCCCCCTCCCCTTTCTGTCAGCAAACTACCACCGTTTTTGCTAAATTATACACTATCCGTCTCTCTCGTTCTACTTTGTATAATACAGATATTAATACGTCCACGATACCATGAAAATATATTAATAATAATTCACTGTGTTGCCTGCTCGTTATGCTTGTTTGTGCGGCATATATGATGTGTGTGCGTGTATGTGTAGTTATTATTTATTCAATCGATGTATAGAAAACTATATACCCTCTTCATATTCGTGCCACAACTAAATTATGTTTTGTATACAACCATTCAACCATTCAACTACTCATCTTCATCCCTATACACTTCTATTCCATATGCGAACACAAATAATAACATTATTAATATATGTAAACAAAAATTATGACCAATTTTCTTAAAAAAAAAAAAAATCAAACGAAAAAAAATATGTATTATTCTAGCATATTATTATAAATATGATCTCTCTGTAATAACACTAATAATATATTATTATATTTTAATCTACAGAGAAACCTGCACTCGTACGCGTGTGTAAAATCATGAAACATAATCATTTTGTAAGCCTACAAGGCTAAAACAGTATTTTAACGTAATATGCATTCAACTATATTATATTATATTAATTATATATATATATATATATTGGTATAACGGCCTAGATTTGGATTGTGTTTTGCTGGCCGTCCACAAATTTTTATTTTTTATTTTTTTGTTTTATTATTAAAGAAATTTTATCAGAAAATATAATCACAACAAGACACTTAGGCATATAATATCATTGGTTATAATAATCGTTTAGCTATGTTATGTGTAAGTTACATTTTATTGTACGCAAAGCTATATATTATATATATACATAATGTTATTTTGTCGTTAAAATAATAATAATAATTTATAAACTGAAAGAAAAAATACTATATTATACATTACGCTGAGTAATACTTTTTGTTAGACACTCTTTGTCATTTCGGACATGGAGGTAATATATTATATAATAATAATATATTTAATTATAAAAAAACATTTAAAAATAAATATATTTATATTTAGGGTATCTCGCGCGTCCCCGCCATGGCCCAGATTAAATTTATAAAAAAAAAAACAATCTTCGACTGCTGTCTCTATAATATTATAAATATAAAATCATGTTATATAAGACTATATATGTGTATATTGGTACTTCCGGGATAATTTTTTTTTTATACAATAATATTAATAATACGCTTCTCCCGCCCGTTCATTTTTAAACTTCTAATACCCATCTACGCCAAATAAACACACTCACATACATACATTCTTTTAAACTTCCTACACAATTATATAATTATGAGTTATGAATGTAGACATCACATTTTTTCTGCTGCCAAACTGAAAAACGATTACAATTATACTGTATTTTATCATTCTGGCGATAAACAAAAACACATAGTTTTTTTTTCACAGTATTTAAATTATGTGTACAATTGTATAATGTATAAATATATATTATATATATATAATTTATTATAATACCTATAGTCCTACACATGCTATATGCGACTAATTAAAATATGAGTACAAGTATAATAACACATAAAAATAAATATGAAAGTTTTCCGTTTTCTACAAGCTTTGATTATTTAATATTATACATGAGACGTGACTGAGAAAGATAACCTAGCTAATTTTCGCTTTACACCTAACTTAATCAATCGACATACATACAGTAGATCAAGTTTATCCATCACAATTTTAGACTTGTTTCGCTAACTGGGTTATAACTTTACTGTTTTACGTTCTACGTGACCATTATTTTGTTCCCTCAACGGCCTGAATAAAGAAATTCAATAAAATATTCTGCTATAGCTCACCACCCAAAACGTAAGTATGGTGACTCATAAATTTTCCATTTCAAGATACACGTGGTCTCTCTTACAAGCGTCACCCGATTGCGACCTAAAGTAACCTTTTACCTTTTTATCTATCCCAATTGTGTCCTATAGGTTAGGTTGTATAAAGTGTAAATGATGGAAATTTACGAAAAGTTAAGCGAAAAAAATAAACAAATATTAATAATACTTAAATATAAATTTCGATTTCATAAGCTATTAGCAAATGAAATAAAAGATGGTGCTGTATATCATTAGTATTATAATAACGAATAATTGATTTAAATTTTTAAAGTATTTACATAAAATTATTTGAATTTCAAATACAAATACGTCCAATACAGTATTTAAAATATTTACTTTATTTTATAATTTTAAGCTATTTTGTGAACCAATGTGTGTTTGGACACAATCGGGATACTTATATTTGGGATAAAATACGACTACCTGAATTCGGGCCGTAATCGGGCAACTCCGTCCCTGACCTACTGTAAAACTAAACGTGCTCGACAATGCCCTATTTTTATAACTTTATACAATATGTAATACGATATTCACCAAATTGGAAAGATAGGTATGTAATTCTTTTGGTATTTTGAGTATTCAATATTATGATAATATTGTATAACTCGTTTATCTAGTAAACTAAACATACCACACTAGACGATATATTGTACAGTTTTTGAGATTTTAAATCGGTTTTTTCCCACGTTCGTGAAAATTCAAAATATTATTTTTTTTCAATTTATTTTGTATGTACGATATAATATGAATATCATTTATGTTTATTACTTACTCGTATAAGTTTTAAAATTGACATAAATCATTATTCTTACATGCATTAAACATATAGTTATATTTTAAACTCTTAATATGCTTTTACACAAAGACAAATATTTTCAAACGTTATTGTCTAACACTAATAACATTTTGATGAATTTACATAGTAAAGCAATAGTAAGTGTTTTTAGCTTTACCCTTTTTTGGTAATTTTTAAATAAAATGTATGAAGTATGTCACTGTTTTGCCCATTTCTTATAGAAATATTCTGGTACAATATAATTTCTATATAAAACATAGATTATACACTTGTGTCCTAATCGTATGGTCTGATTGAGCAAACGAAAAACTAAATATCTTTTTACTAAAAATTCTTAAAATTGTATTATCTTTTATAAAATCTGCACTTATTAGAATAACTTCACCTTGAAAAAAAATATACACTACAGAAATAATTGAATATTTGGCCTAATATTTATGCATTATATATAATTATATATAATTATATAACATACGGCACGTCCGAGTACACGCCTTATATCTAAGTATATATTTTTATACCAAGTTCGTCGATGAACATTACAACCTGCAGAACTGTGAACTTAACGTAATATTTATTTTATTTTTTTAATTTACGCATGAAACATTAAAAAAATACTAAAACAATTGTATAAAAATAATAGTTTCTTCCTCAGTCAATACTAACCTTAAAATCTATTATTATTTCTAAATATAGACAACAAAAATTGTTTAATCTTTTTTGTTTGTGCATTACCTAAAAAACTGAAATGTGTCTAACAAATAATAAATAAAATATATTTTAATAGTTAAGCTAGTCTTAAAATACGAGATAATATAATAAAAAAAGAGTTTGAAAGAAGTAATGTAAATATGAATTTTATAGCAACTCAGTTTTCTGAAACCGAACAACTATACGCGATCAGTGTACGCATTATCAGAATATAATATACATATAATATAACTTGCACATACGTCCAAACAATATTTTGTTGTATAAAAACGGCGCCAATAGTAGCGTATACGCTATACCTATACGTATATTATATATTGTAATAGTATGCCTGTATGCGTATATCGTGTTTGTGCGTTGTTAATTGTTATACTATTATGTATGTATTATACACATATACTTATTTAATATATATATATATATATATATATATTATATTATCCTGCACAGCAGTCACTCTCACCTAAACATTGTATACCACGTTACCTATATAAAAATATGCTTTCGTTTTATAAAATATATATTATTATTATATAAATTAATTGTATAATAAAATAAACGCTAATACTGAATAATACAAAATGTATGTATTGTTCTTTTGTACTTGTTTATTTTAATTATTTATATATTTTTTTTTTTAAATTTTGTTTTTACGTTGAAATATGTGTTAAATGTTTTTTTTCTATAATGTATATTTAAAAACCACGTACATTTCGGCCGCAAGAGATACGTGATATGGTTTCATTCTCTGGCGGCCGTCGTTGACTTATATATTAAATTATAATATATTTATATATAATACATTATTTATACGCCTATTAAATAATAATATATTATACTATATATTGTACATCTACTCGCCGCCCTTCCACTTATGAGCTTACGGAGTACGCGTAACGCCCATATATTACCTTTAATGTGGGTTCGTGTACACCACAATAAATTTCTTAGAAAATTGTAATCGGAAAATCTTTTTAAAAATATAATATATTATAGATTATTATAATTATAATAATGAGGTATTATCATTTATCACGTTATAATTTTAAAAAAACAATTGAAGGTACGTAAGGATACGTACGGACGTACATAATTAAACAAATCTATGGAAATCACTCGTTTTATTTTTCGCTTCGTATTTTTCACCCATCACCCGGAAATACCAATCGACACATCCGACGTGTGCCAACGCAAATTTCCGTACCTACACGATAATAAATCATCTGATTCAGAAACAAACAAAATGTATGTGCGTGAATATCAGGACCTTTGGAAGGAGGAGGGCGTAGGGTGAAATTGTGATCAAAAATCAATTTTTTTTTTTTTTTTACGCCCATAATGAAAATAATATAATACTAATATATAATTTGTTACTCTATCGTTATTGTTCATTTATGGAATATACATTATATACATTATGTACACATATATATTATTATTACTTCTATAAATTATATTATTATTTACATTAATTTAATTAGACATATGTATACATATATAATATATGTATTTACTTTACACACATACACACTCCACATACACATACACACTGACACACCCACGTGTTATTGATTATATAACCCATTTGTTAAATGTATAATAATAATTTATGTAATGATTATATTCTATATATATATATATATTGTGAGATACGGCAAACGTTGCACTCAGTAAATTTACACGTTGATAATTTATAACAATATTATGTTAAATAAAATATATATATGTTAAACACAATAATTGCACGGAAATCAAAAAAAAATAATAATAATAAATTGTAAAATGGAACAGAAATCACCGGAATATTAAAAAAAAAAACACGCAAGTATATAAAATATTTTATCATGTATTTACCATGTAAATTAATATATATATATTAATAAATTACATTCTTTAATATTCAATCCATGTATCAATGGAATGGAATAGTGGACCAATATTTTGTGTCACTATACCGCCACCATAACTATTTAGATAATAATAATACTGAATTGATTCGTATAAAATTTAAT